ATATATATATACATATATATATATATATATATATATGTATATATATATATGAAAAATGTGTTGATGGCAGTCAAATTGCCATTAAAAGAGCATTAAACAGCCTTAAATTAGAGTTACTCATTCCTGTATATACCCTGTTTATAGAGTAATTTAAAATAATTTTAATAAAATGTCACAGGTGATGGTATGGTCATTTAAGAAGGGGAATACCCCCCCCCCCCCCCCATCACCTGTCAACTCAAATACTGCCCCCTTCTAATAGCCATCATAAAGTTGCCACCATTTAGTTCCCACCTTTTCTTCCTAAAAATGTCTTTCAGCCTCATCTTGGCAGCAACCTTAGCTGCTGTTAATGTTCCAGTTCTGCTGCGGTTCCAGTTTTTTTTTTGTCTTTCTGTTCTTGATGCTTCTGTGTTTCCCTGTCATCTGTAGGGTTCCTGATCGGCGGGGACGTGTTGCGCCTCCTCCATGGTCACATGGACGAATGTCTGACTGTTCCTTCTGGGGAGCACGGAGACGAACAGAGAAGGTGATGTGTCCTAAATCTCAATTCTCTCACCCATAATAAATTAAAAAACACTTTAAAAAGTCGTTTAAAAAAAGTTTTTCCTTTAACTACTGAGTTCTGGAGAATCTTTCTGTTTTCTTAACATCTCTCAGGTTAAGAAAACTTGAGTAACTTTATTATTCCCAAAGGGAGACTAAATGCTGCAGTAACTCATCAGTTATTTTTGATCCAGATATTGTAGATGTAGATCCTGCAGTCAGGAAGGATCTCCTGTAGAGGTCTGTCTGCAGCAATTCTGGATCAGTCTCTGACTGAAGACACTCTGTTGGTGTCCAAGAGTCTGATGAAGAGGATGCTCACTGTTGTCCATCATCTGGAGGAGTTCCTAGAACAGAGCCGACCTTCTTTATCAGCTTTGAAATGAAATTCTTTTAGTTTTTGTGTCCTTTTCATCAGAAGCTAACGGCCTCAGGAGCGTTTAGCTGTAGCTGAAGTCTCCACGGCGACTGAGGCTCAGAGAGGAGCTCCTTTATAGTTTGAAGACGTTCCCTCTGGAAGCAGCCATGTTATTTCTCAGCCCCGCTGAAAGTGTCTGCGTCCTCCCCCTCACCGACAGCAGCTCTGTCTGTGACTCATCAGTCTACACAGACATTACCACGCACGGCGGGAAAGTAAAACTACCGCAGGAGCGTTAGAGTGTGGAAGGCAGTGTTTGTGGTTTGGTCTAACGGGATGATTTGCTCTCCAGGTCGGTGCACTACGAAGGAGGAGCGGTTTCAAGTCACGCCAGGTCCCTGTGGAGGCTGGAGACTCTGCGCGTCATGTGAGCACAGCTTCCTCACAACGGTTCTGTTCACTGAGCCTCATATCACTGTAGGAACCAGCGGAGCCAAGCAGCCACAGCACACACTGCTGCTGCTGCTGCAGCTGAGCGACGGATGAGCGGCTGCTGCAGAGTCACAGATTTTATTCAAACTGTTCATCACATGCCGCTGCTTCGCTCTCATAGATGCTAAGTACCATGGATTGCAAAAACTCTGTAAACATTGTTTTCTGTAACAACAAACCTAACAGGCCTCAAAATATCATGGAGGTTAAAGACAAACCAGCCGATGCATTTATCACTAATTAATTAAAGACAATAACACAGAATCCTGGGTTATATATATGCATACACACATTAAATAAGGAAAATTTAATTAAAAAGTAAATTTAGTTCAGTGACTAAAGTGAAGAACATGATTTATAGATTAATTACTCATTATTTCTAGATTAATCTCATGAGTTATATATAATCTCTCACAATTTATAGATTAACTGCTCATGATTTATAGATGAATTACTCATAATTTTGATTTATAGATGAATTACTCATGATTTATATATTAATCTTGTCATGGTTTTATCAAGAGCTCGAACCCACATTCAGAAAACCAACACAGACAGACCAGGGGAAAGTTTAACAGGTTTGTTGAGCTCTGAACGCTGCTCAACCGGAACTAGAAACTGAGTGGAAGACACTGCGGTTAGTTCAGGCTCAGTAGGAAATTTGATTCTTGAACTTGAAGAGGAGAAATAGATTGCATACTCACGTTTCCAGAAAATGGTTGACTCTTTGACTCCAGTCGGTGTGCGGTAGTTCCAGTGTTTGTCTCATTCAGTGGAGGGCGGACAGGGTTTACCCAGAATGCGGTTGTTTATAGGTGAACGGAGAAGCTGACTGCCACTTAGATTTCCTGCGGTACTTGAACGGGTTGTTGTGGAGATGAATCCCCTGCTCAGAGAGAAGCCCCAGGGATTCCTTGGGGAAAAGGGTTGATCAGAATCACACCCTTGAATCCTCAGTTCAGCTTGATTCTCAGAAGATCCTTCCAGGGGAGAGAAGATCCGAAACATCCAGTTTGCAGGATGACTTCCTGCCGAGAGGCAAAGACAAAAACAAAGTTAAACTCAGGTAGAACAAAAATTTGTTTGACTCAGCAAAACTCAGCTTGGCTAGGGTACCCAAAACTGGCAAACACTCTGGCATCGAGGTAGTGACAGTCAGGAGCTTAAGAGCACTCCGTTAACGAGGTGTGAGGAGGCGGACCAGAACCAGGCGCCTCCTGGTGGAGGAAGGAAGACAAACACACAAAACACAAACCACACAGACAGGAATCCTAACAAATCTCATGATTTATAGATACATTTATAGATTTATAACTGAAGTCTTCAAGGCTTAATTTAAAGCCTAAAAAGCTGATTTGATGTTTATGTGAATCCCTTTATTGTCCCACACTGGAGAAATTCCCTCTCTGCATTTAACCCATCCCCTTAGGGAGCAGTGGGCTGCCATTGTGCGGCGCCCGGGGAGCAGAGTGGGGTTAAGGGTCTTGCTCAGGGACCCAGAGTGGCAGGGTGTGGGGATTGAACCGGGTACTAGCAACCTTCTCAGAGCACAGTGTTCTGCTCTAACCACTAGGCCAATTGATAGTATAGGAATATAACATAAAAAATGAAAAAAAAAAAGAAATAAAAGACCTGATCCATGTATCTGTCTTTAAAGCTGAGGTATTTTTTCCAGGTGGAGTGGGAGTCATATCCGCTGGGGTCAGCCCTTCAGACTCAGACACGTAACCACGGGGAAGTATCTCAGTCTGACTGAGGAGAAGTCTCTTCTCCTGATGGACAAAGAGAAGGCGGATGTCAGGTCCACTGCCTTCTGCTTCAGGGCGTCCAAGGTCAGTGCTTGGTGCCAACAGACCTGGTGCCAAAGAGCGACCTGATGACCTGACTGGGGTTCTGTTCTCTGCTGTTTCCTGTCAGGAAAAGCTGGATCCTGGTGTGAGGAAGGAAGTGGATGGGATGGGCACGCCGGACATTAAATATGGCGACTCTGTGTGCTACATCCAACATGTCAACACCTGCCTGTGGCTGACGTACCAAACCATTGATGCAAAGTGTGCACGAATGGGCGGAGTCCAGAGAAAGGTAAGACACCAGAGACGATCTGTAAGTTTGAGACTTGGTCTCTGATTTCTATGTTTATGATGCTTTATTTTATTAAATGTTTTCCATCTAGAACAGCAGTTGACAGCTGCTGTTCTTCAGAAACCATAATATCCATTTCTTTAATGCAACACAAACATGCAACAGAAACAGGAGTAATATTTTTATAGATCTCTCAGAAATTAATTTCCCTTTAGACAATATGCTGTTTAAACTCCCCTGATACAGTCAGCTGACAGTAATAAACATTTATCAGCCTCAGGCATAGGCTAAATGTTGGATAAATGTACGTTTTTTTCTTTTCCTCCTGTCACTCTGACCTTAGGGGGCGGCAGAGGCGTTTAGGCCCCACAAACTTGGAAAGCCCTGGTAACCACCCTTGGCATCCCTTTCCCCGAATCCAGAGGCACAGTTCTAGTTTTCTACTAATAACTCTATCGATTTATTAATTTGATTAATTAATTATTTCATATTAATTGAGCTGAATGAATAGATAAATCCTCCTCAGATGTGTGTGTGTGAATGGTTGTTTGTCCTGTGATGGACTGGTGACCTGTCCAGGGTGGACCCCGCCTCTCGCCAGTAGACAGCTGGAGATAGGCAGCGGCCTCAGCGCCACCATGACAAGCACTGGGAAAAAAATGAATGGATGGAAGTTAAATTGGCTTACTTTATTAAACTCTCGTATTTTCAGATATATTTTGGCCCTCCAAACACCCGATGACTCCACAGTGACTGAAAACCATCTCACTTGGTGAATCGTTTCCCCCATTTTGGAAACCCCCTGTTATTTATTAATGTTCAACCAATTAGTCTGGGTTTGAAGTCTGAGTGAAAAGCAGCCAATGGAGAGCAGGAACCGAACTGCTGACGTTTGGTCCCTAAATGCCTCCATCCTGGTCTGCAGAGGAAAAGATGCTGAAGGTTTTTTGAGTTTCAGTTGGATTAAAAATCAGCTTTACTTTCTAACAACCAGCTTATTGTGAAACTAAAAGTCTCTTTTTGCAGCTCCTCCTTTTTTCCTCCTTCACCTCTAATATCATTTTTCACTGGCTGTTTTTCCTGAAAAGATAATAGAACATTTTTGTAGCCAGTTTCAGCAGCAAGACATAAAAAAGCAGAAGTGTACATCACAGGGGCATAAAGGCAGGCCAAATGTTTCAGAAAAAAAAAAAAACTATAATAAAGCTATTTGATGCAGGTCCAGCAGATTCTGCAACAGCTTCTTCCCCACTGAGATCAGATGGCTGAATGTTGAAAAAACTGGGGAAAAAAGCTGAATGTTGGAAAAGCAGTCTCTACATCACTGCTGCACTTTAAGAAATGGA